TTTATTCTTTAGTGTTTAATAGAATACATCACAAGTCACATAATCAATGATTCATTACTTCACACACAGGGAGGAAAGCAATATTGAGGATTTCTGTTATACAACTGGTTGTGAACACAGAGAGAGAACCAAAATCTCTAGAGCATTTAGATGGTTGAAGAAATTCTCACTTAAAGTTTGGGCATGTCTGAAAAAACGTCCTCAGTTTTTAAAATATAAAAGGATTTTTTTTTTTCCCTTGGCTTTCTGTTTCATTAGAAAGCCTGATAATTGTATAATGATATTCTCCCTTTCTCCTTCAGTTTTGAGAAAATGGCTCAGTGATAATGTATCACTTAGCATATAATATTTTCAACAATTTCATAATCCCAGATAACTCTGCGGGAATCTTACATTGTTTCTCAGGTAAGAGTTTGTCAGATGCCCAGAAAAATTTAAATAACACGTAATTTGCATCTTCAAAATTAATATCCACAATGGATGTTTTAACCTTTGCCATTAAATGTCACAAATGCTGTTTTGAGTGGTCATAAATGAATTGTCGTCATTTGTATTCAATATTAATAGCAAAATTCACCAGCCTATAAAGTCAGAAAGACAGTTGTATAATAGTTTACATTACAATTAATGTTCACGTACCTCAAAACACATTTAGAATTAAAAAAATTTTAAAAAAACCTGGGGAAAAAAATCACAAAATATATAAGGTGACAAGAATTCTTGGTCAACTAGTTCAGCTTCCTACCACACGAGCTTATACTCTAATGTAAATATTCTGGTTGAATTTCTTCCATCTTAGTTTCAAGGGCCCCAGTAGAGAATAGAAATCTTCAAACATTAATACTTTTAGATGTTTACCATCCAAAACTGTGCCAAAGAAAAGTTAACTTCAACATAGCATGTTTCTGGCTCTAGGAAAGCCTATTTTAGTCACTATAGCCACTGGAAACACAAGACTATTTTATTTATTTCTCAAGAGATAGATTCAGGTCATCTAAGAAAACTAATTCAGTTTTTAAATGAGTTATAATAAGGAAAAACAGAAAAAAATTCCAAAGGATTTACTCTGGTAGGTTTACAATAAAAATATTCAGTTTACAATTTTAGAAATTTAAGTCAACTGAGTAAAGTACTTACGATTTAGATTATAAAAGAAATTCTTAAGGAATTCAATGCCTCCAGTCAATACTGTTCTAAATGCCTGCACTATCATTTATCACTTTTCATGTGGAGTACAAAAATGTTTTTGAATATTAGATTAGAATTTACCATAATTTAAAAAGTAAAAAATTATCAAAGCCTCACCTTACATGGCTTTAATGTAATAATAACATTCCATGGAAAATTCCAATAAAAATTGGAATATGTTATGAGCATGCCAGTTGCCTATTTTGTCTGAGAATTCACAGATTATGCATTTCCCCAGAAAAGCAACAGGCTCCATATATATATATGGATCTGGTTTGAAAGAGAAGACAATTTTGTCTAGTATTATAAATTATCACTTTGCTATCAATGCAAAAACCAAATAAAACACAAGAATAAAAATCGTACTGAAAGGGAAAATATTTAAGGCCCACACATTCAAGGAATATTTTCCACAACATGTAATTTGAAAAACTAAAATGAACATGGTTTATAGTCTACATATTTTAAAAAATTTTAAAAATATGTCAAACACTTGGTGCAAAAGCACTGAACATGGTACCTGTTTTTTAACCACCACTGTCAACCATTCTTTTTTAAAAAGTTAAATTTGTTATTAAAATCTAATGTCACTCAGTTGTATTTATGAACCAAATGGTAATTAGAGCCATTACATATGTAAATGCATGCTACACTGAGTCAGATTAATGCAGTCATAATTTCTGAATAATTTATGACACCCTCCCAGGTTACTGAATGTCTTTGGAGAGCTTACTCAAATGGACGCTCAGTATCTCATCCAAGCTCACAGATGACAACCAATACTCCAGCCCACTTTGTAGACCACTAAGGGTCCTTCTGTGGCTCAGAACACATGGTGAATAAGGGACCCAAAAGTGCAGAGGCCAAGTCATCTTATCTCAGTTATAGTATCCACCCAATGTAAAAATGAGTTTCCTACCCAGCCTTTACTTTGGGCTAAGGTAGAATTTGTCATGTATCAACTTCCAACTTTAGAGGGGACAGTCATCATAGAAAAAAGGTCGGTTTACCATCTCTAACCATTCAATTCCCAGTCCTTCAGATAATGAAAGGGGTTAGGGAATACTGCGGGGCAGCAAGGATGTGTGGAGGAGTGAGACGTGCATGCACAAAGCTGTGAAACAGTTCAACTCAAAGTTTTACGAGATAAAACTTTTAAGACTTGGGTGGCAGAGACAAAACTTGAGCAATTCCCCGTGACTCCTGGAGCTGAGCAGATTTAACAAGGCAAATCAGAAATCTCTGAGTCTTGCCATAAGTCAGTGTCTTTGATATGTCCCAAGGTGTCCTCAATTATGTGCTTTTTGTTGCACAATCTAACAGAATACCACATAGGGTGCAGAAATCTCTGTGACACTTACTTTTGGCCAGTGAGTGACATTCCCAAATCATTTCAGGCTTGAAACAGGAGTAAGTTCTGAATACACCCAACACATAAGCAAAATGTGACTTCCTGAATGTTTCTGCTTCCCTTACAATTACGGTCTTTGTAATTGTAAAGCTAACTTTACTTTTCTAAACAGGCACCTCCAACAAAAAGACCTCAAATCTTTCTCTTCCCCCCCGGAAAAAAAAAAAAAAAAAAAAGAACTGGTGGATTAAAAATACAGGTACCGTGGTTTATGTAGATAGTTAATTGACATATTAGTATACAACTAATATCCAAGCAAAAAGTATGGAGCAAACTCAGCTTTATGTATTTTTTTCCTAACCCAATTTCCCCATAGACAAGGATATAAGAAACTCATTGAAACATGTTGCTTTAGTATATACACCATCTGATGCAAGTTACTGGGGGTAAAGACAGGAACGTTTATAGCACTAGTAAATTAATTAAAAAACTAAGTGATTCGTGTAAAATGTTTATATATGGCATATACAGATTGGATCACATGAGTCTAAGAATAAAACTGTTCCAATTCTTAACATCTGTTATGGACATATAGTAAGATACAGTACAAGATTCATTTTTAAAAAGAAGAAAAAATAGCGCTAATTTAAACACTGAAAACGACTCTTACAAAAATCTTTTAAAAACCTACTTCAAGAGAATGATGCTGAAACAAATGAAAAAGGACAAGCTTCTCCATCATCACAGAATATCCAAAGGAGCCTCACAGCATGAAAGACAAGGATTCATTTCCCCTCACTTACAGTGTAGATACGATATACAGTGGGGATTTATTCCATGTTAGAGTAAAGGTATAAGGCAACCAGGTCTCCTTCTGTTTCAGCTGCATGTACGTGGAACACCACTTTATTGCTCAGCTCACTTTTAAGTACTTATTTGCCTTCATTTAAAAATATTCCACTTTACAGCTGTCTACAGATGGCAGCCCTTGGCGATTCTATTCTCTGCAGCTCTGTCATTCGAAAAGATTCCACCTTAACTTCAAACAACCTGCATCAAAGTGGCATTTTTCAGGTTTGCCCAGAAGTCAGCATTGGCTGGGCTTGCAGACAGTAAGGATCTTTGATAAGAGAACTGAAGTCTAAGTAACCTAAATCAACATATTTTGTTCAAGGAAATAGATTTTAAAATCAGGACTTATAATCAACAAGAAAATAAAGTTCAAAAACTAAAACAGTTACTGGGTAACTCTTTGGTTAGGTTATATAAGTATCAGCAAAACAGTTAGTTCAATAAACTCCCAGGTGAGAGTAGATCTGTGATTCACCTTTACAAAATGCTTTGCATGTTTTCACCTTTACAAAATGCTCTGCATGTTTTCGTGTGCTATTTTGTTAATGTGCATGTACTCAGACGGACGGTACAAACTTCCAACTTTCAAATAATAAATGAGTATGTCCGCTCCTCCCTTCCCACCCCTCCTACCCTCCTTCCTCCCTCCCCACCCCACCCCCCAAGGCTTAAGAGCTAAGGTCCTACTGACAGTCACTGCAATAATACAGGTTTTCTTAATACCCACGACGTGCATTACTACCTAGCTCCGTTTACAGTCACAGCCAGGTGACCTCCCGCAATGCTCGGCGACCTGAGCTGTCATTCTCTCTTCCCCCTCTTGCCAATAACGGGTGCCATGTCAAGCAGTCGAACCAAGGGCTTCTGGCGGTGAGCCCAGGAGAAAGGGTGCCTCTTCAGGCAGGAGGGGAACTTTCTACAAGTTTAAACCACAGGCCTTTAAATCTGCACAGAAACCAAACGCTCCTTCATTATGCCATCACCATATTCTTCTCCTACTTCTACCTGTAACTTTTCAAAACTTTATTCATTTATAGTCCCTGAACGGCCTCCGCGGGATCCCAATTCCAGCTCTGGAGTCTTCCATTCAGCCTTCTAAAACTTCACCTTTAAAGAGGGTCAAAAGACTGCGCAATAAATGACCTTTCAAAACTATTCCCACACACTGCTACCAATTCTCCCTCTTAAACCGCGAATGAGTCATCAGGGCTTGAGAAGATTTCAAGGAATCTTCTATACACTGGACAGGGTCCAGTTAAGTTCGAAACAATTCAGTCATTCCCGGGTACTAGGTGACTTTGTAGCCACACTGCCCCACTACATCCAGACTGAAGGACGATCCGGGGGAGGGGTGGTTTGAGGCCGGGGGCAGAGGAAGCATGGGGTGGAGAGGTACATCTGGGCGCTCTCTTTTAGTGGGGTCCAGGGAAGACGAAGAAGCCGAGAGGATCTGTGGCTGCAGGTTCTAAAGTGAGGGGTCAGTGGGTCTACCGCAGGTGGGGAACAGGGGAATGGGAGAACGTGGGGTGGGAGGGGAAATCTATAGCCCTCTCCCGGGCAAGAAGGAGAGGGAATGGGCGCGCTGGAGTCGCAAGGGGGTGTGGGGAGTTCACTCCCTGCAGAAGACGTACTCGGTGTAGCTGGTCCAGATCTTGTCCTCGTTCTGGTCGGTGCTGCTGGCGAAGGCGCAGGTGCCCGTGGAACTGCACGCCACCATGTGGAAGCCCGACTCGGACAGCTTGTCGAAGGCCTGCTCCAGGAAGTTGAACTTGAGGTAATAGCGCGAGGTGTAGCGCTCCGGAGGCCGGTCGGGGTCCCGGCTCTCGTTCAGGGTGTCCCCGAACACCTCCTTGGCCAGCGATGTCTTGCCGCACACGGTGATGCGCGCCACTCGCCGGAACTTGGCGTCCGCCTGCGCGTCCCGCCCGATGGTGTAGGAGCCGCGGTAGCCGATGGTGATGTAGCCCGAGCGCCGGCTGCCGTCCAACGACTGGGACGGCGTGAGCAGCGGACCGGCCGCGCCCCCCGACGGGCTGCGGCTAGCCACCTCCAGGGTGGGCGACGGCGCCCCAGCCGAGGCGCCCTCCTGCTGCTCAGGCTCCGCGTAGCCGAGTGGCAGCAGCTCGTCGCCCAGCGAGCCCTCCTTCTGCACCCCGCGCCGCGAGTGCGGCGGCGGCGGCCCGGGGCCGGGCTGCTGGGGCTCCCCGAGGCGGCGCACGAGCTCCGGCAGCTCGAAGTACTCGGCCTCGCGCTGCAGCCGGCTGCGCTCGGGGAAGTAGTCAGGCAGCACGAGCTGCAAGTCCCGCAGGTAATCCAAGATGTAGCGAAAGAGGAAGCCGTCTCGGTCTAGGAAGAAGCGGCCTTTGCTGTCCCGGGCCAGCTCCTGCGGCTGCTGCTGCGTGAACATGCGCCAGAGCAACGAGTCGGGAACCGACACCACCGTGCAGCGCCGGGTCACATACACCTGGCCCCCCACGTTCAGCTCCACGATGTCGGGAAAGAGCGGCGGCTCAGCCGAGGACGACGAGGAGCCGCTGCCGCCGCCACCACCCCCGTTGGGTAGTCCACGAGTGCTGTCCGCCAGAGCCATGGCCAAGAGGTGGCCGGGCTAGGGCAGTGGCCGAGAGCCGGGCCGCGCGCCGGATCCGCCGCCGCCGCCTTTCTCGGACGCTCGCTCAGCCCTGCGCCCCGGCCCGCCGCTGCCACCGAGAGCCGCGCGGAGCCAAAGCGCGCCTCTGTGCGTCCCCGCGAGCCCCGCTGCACTCCTCCCGCCTCGCCCGCGCGCTTCAGGGGAGTGCCGGGTGGCGACCGGCGCGCTGCTTAAGTAGAGCCTGGCGCCGCGGCGCGCAGAAGGCGGGGGCGGCTGCGGAGCGGCGGAGCCTAGCTCCCAGGGCGGGAGGGGGTGGTGGGGCGGGGAATCGATTTGCATCTGAAACGCTGACGCCGCGGCCGGCTGCTGGCTCCACCCCGGCTCGCGCGCCGCCCGGACACCCCGACTTCCCTACCGCCTCCTCGCCCGGCGCTCTACCCGCTTCCCGCTCCTGCCCAACTTTCTTCCTCTTCCAAAGCGGACAGAACCTGGGCCTGGCCGCTTCGGAAGACGAACCTTCTTTGGAGGGGCAGTCACTGCGCCCCCTGTCCTCCTAACTGCAGCCGGAGACTGTGGAAGGAGCACGTGAACTTTCCGGCTCCCCCCCACCCGGGGAGTGGAAGGGCCTGGGTGCCCCCGGAGAGTAGCCGCTTTAAACACTGTAACTGTGGCGCTTTAAACACGCGGCTCGTCTCGTTGCTGAAAGTTCTAGAGAGAGCCCAAAAAATCTGGAGATGCGGTGGGGCCGCCCCGGCCTGGAGGCAGCTAGATTTTGTTCGCGCGTACGAGTAGCCTCGAAAAAACCCTAGAAACAAAAAGCTAACCTCGGTATCCTGCTGTAGAACGCTCTCCCATAGTTTATTTTCTGGGTAAAAAGGCAAACTCATTAGTTGGGAGACCTCAAAATTGGAGGAAATGGCAAAAGGGGAACTTGGGTGAGTTCAAGGAGTGACTTCGGGGCGTGTTCCCCTGCCGGTAGCGGACGCGACCTTCCCCCACCAACCCCTTTTTGGCCAAGCTGAAGGGGCATGTACTGTGAGGCCTAAGGGAAAGCTACGTGTCCGCGGCCCTATCAGCCCCGGGTGAATCGCGCTGTGGAACTCGGAGAGTTTGAAGATCAAATATAATTTAGAAAACCTACCTTTCAAACCCTGCGTCTTTATCCTCCCAAAGGTCCAGGCGCACCCGCTCTCCCGCGGGCCTGGGTCACTCCGTTCAGTCCTTTCCGAGTGCCCTCTAGCCTCAGGGTCCTTGTATACACTTGAAGGCCCGCTCTAGATCCCTTCCGGTCCTCTCCCTTCGCACTCGTATTCGCCCTTCACAATGCAGCACCCAGGTCTCCTCCGCCGCGAACGCGTCCCTGACTTCTCAGGTTGGGTGGGGCTTCGGATGGCCCCTTCCACGTGCCCTAACGCCCAACACATTCCGACATTACGCGTCTGTGAGTGATTATCTAATCTCTGACTTTGGTAAATAGTCTCCTGAGCACTGCAGAAAGAGGACGGAAGAGAGGGTAGTGAAGAATGTTTAGCAATTATCAAGTCAATGGTTATTTGTTGTGCACCAGCTATTCATTCGGCCGCGCTGGGTAGAAGAATAATGTAAGACGGAAGAGGCTCCACAGAGCTTTCAGTGCAGCCCGGTAGGAAAGGGTCAGAAGTCTGAGCAGTTATCAGATCGGTTTGAAGTACAGACTGTCAATCAGTATAAATCAGGCGAGATCTTTGTTCTTGATAATCATGTTTCACCTTTTGTGTAACTACCCGATGAGCTTTACAGTCTCCTCATGGATGTGTGTCATTTTTACTTTGAAATGTTTATGTCTGCTGAACAGTTATCCATGTCAGTGTACTGAAATAAGATCAAGTAAGACCAGCTCACTTAACTGCAAGTACAGATTGTGATACTGAATATATGTGACCACTCTTTTTTTGTTTGTTCTTTGGTATAAATAATAGCTGACACAAAAGTTCCAAGTTCCAAAGCTGAATTTCTAGGCGGCTGGGCTACTTTTTGTAATATCAGTGTCAAAGCCCTAAAGAAACCAGTCTCTTTTTTGTAAATCCAAGAAAAGCCTTTTTCATATCAATTCCGTACATATTTTTGTATCATTACTTTGTTCATCATATCAGCAAATCCTGTCAGTTCTGCCTTCAGAATTTTTCCAGGCTATGAACATGTTTCACCACCTCCCTGCCATCACCCTGGACCAAGCCACCCATCACCTCTTGCATTGGCCTCCTAACTGCTTCCACCTTTGCCTCCTACAGTCTTTTATCCCCAGAACAAAAAGAGGGATCCTATTATAACCTAAGTCAGATCACGTCACTGTGTCCAAAGCCCCTCACTGGCTTCCCATCTCACCAAAAGTAAAAACCAAAGTACTTTCATTGCTTACAATACTCTACAAGATTGGAGCTGTCCCACCAGAACCTCTCAGACCTGTCCCCTGCCACTCTCCCAGGAGCTCCATGCTTTAACCACATTACCCCCACCCCCTACTTTTTGCTCAGGGCCTTTGCACTCCCTGCTCCCTGTGCTGAAAGACTCACTTCCCCTCCCCCTCTTATCTTCCTCATCTTGTTCAGGTGTCTCCCTTCTCACCTTCTTCAGGCCTCTGCAGCAAGACCTTCCCTTGATCACCCTATTTAATATAGCACAACCCCGCCCAAGCAGCATCCATTTCCCTGCTTTAGTTGTTTACTGTTTGTTTCCCTGCGTTAGAATATAAAGTCCAAGAGAACATAGATTTGGGTTTGCTTGATTCATCACTACATCCCCAGTGCCTAGTACAGAACTGTCATATAATAGACATTGGATAAATATCTGTTTCCCACTTGTTTATTCCACCAATATTTATTAAAGGTCTACTACTATGTTCTAGGCAACATGTTAAAGAAAAATAATCTCTGCTTTCTTGGAGCTTCCAGGCTTGTGAGGGAGACAGATAATAAATATATAGATGAGTAAATCTACTTCAGGTAGAGATAAATGCCATGAAGAAAATAAAATTATGAAATGAGATAGAGGGACTGAGTACAGGGATACTAGTTTATATAGACTGGTTGGGAGCCTCTCCACGGAAGTGGCATTTGAGCTGAATAATAAGCAAGAAAGCCATGAGAAGTTCTGGAGGAAGAACATTCCAGGCAGAGGGCAAAGCAAGTGAAAGGAGTCTGGGTTAGGAATGATTTTGGTACATCTCACAGTAGAAGTCTGTCAATCGTATCATCTGCTTGTATCTCCAGAGTGCCCTTGAAGAGATCAGCACAAGCATCAAATGTGAGCCACACTGCAGGCCTAGACACTACCTTCATTCTCCATCACTTAACATATTCATCCTCCATAGGCTGGTCTACTGCAGGAAGCCATCAGGATTTCCTTACAGAAGTCTCAGTTGTGCATGAGAGGAATAATAATGAATGAAACAGGTGATGTGAGACTGAAGGAATAATTTTCTGGTTAATTTTGTATGTTCTATTTCCTGCCTACTGGTTGGTGTCATGAAATTCAAGAGGAAATAAAATAGGGAACTTTAATGCTGGGACTTAAAGGCCTGAGCGTCTATAGAGGGAGGGAGGGGCCATAACTCTTTAGCTTCTTCAATGGGTTAAATATGCTTAATTGTCAGAGGATAAGGGAGGATTTGGGAAGCCACTAGCTCTGTGTCTCATCTCAATCCAGCTTCTAGTGATGGATACGCTGATGGTCATTGTTTCTTTTCAAGTGGCTGTGTACTTTCCTACATAACAGACAGCTGTCCTTTTATCCTAAAGTGTAGGGTATTGGAAACATCTCTGGACCTACATTCTCATCTGATTTGTATCTCTTCCCCCACCTATTGCCTGCCAATCAGCTTCCCACCCTACCTCCACTGCACGTAGTAAATATTCTGAACACCAAAGATTTAAGAAAGAAATGAGGAAGATTACGAGAAATATAAAGTTAAAAGCGGGGGAAGAACTCGGGTGAAATGAAGTGAGTGCCTCTGAGGACTGAATAAATTTAATATATGTGAAAATGGTCTGTAAGCTGTAAAACACCATTCAAGTGTCAGAATCAGTATTTTCTACTGTCTATCATGCTTGACACGTCTACTCAGCAAATACTGAATGAATAAATGAGTGGCAGAAACGTTAAAATGAATGCTGTGAGGAAAGGGAAGAAGAGACAGAATCAGAAATTGTCCCAAACAAGTGTTTAGCTCATTCATCATCCTCCCAATATGTGTGAATCTTATCTGTATGCAGGCTTTAAAAATCATTGACTTTTTGCATTCAGGGAGAGAAAAGAATTAGATACAGAGAGATTAAATGACATTAAGCTTAAATGAACCAGGGGATAAAATGATCTTAATGAAGATCTGGTAAAAGATATGCCAATAACTAATGTTTAAAAAAGAGAGTGAAAATGTTATGTGAGGAACATAGCCGAAATACTAGGTCTAGAAAGTAAATTCCAACATCACTATTATGTGATTTTTATACCTAAGAGAACCAGAGAAACAAAAATTAATAATGTTGGAAATTTTTAAATTTTTATTTCCATATCCTCATAAACAGTATCTGAAGCTTTTCCAGGAAACAGGTAATAATATGATAGCAAGCGTTTATATAGCACTTACTATGTGCCAGCCCAGTTAATAGAACTATACGAGTGTTAGCACATTTAATCCTCACGATAACTCCATGGGGTTGGTACTGTTATTACCTGATTTTTTAGAAGAGCAAGTAAGTGGTGGAGCTGGGATTTGAACCCAGGCGGTCTAACTTTAAAATCTGTGCTTTTAAATACTGTGTGTGTGTGTATGTAACTATGTGTATAAAAACACTTCTATGAATGCTTTATATGTAGGAAAGAAATAGGTTCTATGATTTTCCCCACTTTACAGATGATGAGCCCAAGGCAAAGAGAGGTTAGGTAATGTGACCAAGATAATGCAGCCATTTAGCCCTGCTAAGCACAAGAATGGTGTTCTAACGTCCATGGACTTATGGTCT